CCCACATACTCCGCCTACTACAGTTGTACTACAAAGTCGCCACTCATCTTCTAGCTCCCCAGATACTCCGCGTACTACAGTTGCACTACCAAGTCACCAGTTCTCATCTTCCAGCTCCCCTGCTACTCCGCGTACTAAAGCTGTACTACAAAGTCGCCAGTTCTCAGCTTCCAGCTCCACAGCTACTCCGCGTACTAAAGTTGTACTACAAAGTCGCCACTTCTCAGCTTCCAGCTCCACAGATTGCTCCGCGTACTAAAGTTGTACTACAAAGTCGCCAGTTCTCAGCTTCCAGCTCCCCAGCTACTCCGCGTACTACAATTGTACTACAAAGTCGCCAGTTCTCATCTTCCAGCTCCACAGCTACTCCGCGTACTAAAGTTGTACTGCAAAGTCTCCAGTTCTCATCCTCCACCTCGCCAGATACTCCGCGTACTAAAGTTGGACTACAAAGTCGCCAGTTCTCAGCTTCCAGCTCCCCAGCTACTCCGCGTACTAAAGTTGTACTACAAAGTCGCCAGTTCTCATCTTCCAGCTCCACAGATTGCTCCGCGTACTAAAGTTGTACTACAAAGTCACCAGTTCTCATCTTCCACCTCGCCAGATACTCCGCGTACTAAAGTTGTACTACCAAGTCACCAGTTCTCATCTTCCAGCTCCCCAGCTACTCCGCGTACTAAAGTTTTACTACAAAGTCACCAGTTCTCAGCTTCCAGCTCCACAGCTACTCCGCGTACTCAAGTTGTACTACAAAGTCGCCACTTCTCAGCTTCCAGCTCCACAGATTGCTCCGCGTACTAAAGTTGTACTACAAAGTCGCCAGTCTCAGCTTCCAGCTGCCCAGCTACTCCGCGTACTACAATTGTACTACAAAGTCGCCAGTTCTCATCTTCCAGCTCCCCAACTAGTCCGCGTACTAAAGTTGTACTACAAAGTCACCAGTTCTCATGATCCACCTCGCCAGATACTCCGCGTACTAAAGTTGTTCTACAAAGTCGCCAGTTCCCATCTTCCCACTCCCTAGCTACTCCGCGCACTAACGTTGTACTACCAAGTCGCCAGTTCTCATCTTCCAGCTCCCCGGCTACTCCGCGTACTAAAGTTGTACTACGAAGTCGCCAGTTTTCTCAGCTTCCAGCTCCACAGATTGCTCCGCGTACTAAAGTTGTACTAGAAAGGCACAATCTCCGCAAAGGGTTGCGCGCGCACACAGACTCACTCGCACTCTCGCCTGCATTTCGCGCACTCGACACGCACGATCTCCGC